GAACTCTCTACCCCAAATCAACAGAATATACATTCTTCTCAGTGCCACATGGCACCTATTCTAAAATCAACCACTTAATTGGAAGTAAAATGCTACTCAGCAAATGCAAAAGAACGGAAATAATCACAGTCTCTCAGACCACAGTGCAATCAAATTAGAACTCAGCATAAAGAAACTCACTCAAAACCATATGATTTCATGGATATTGAACAAACTGCTCCTGAATGACTCCTAGGTAAATAATGACATTAAGGCAAAAATCGAGAAATTATTTGAAACCAGTGAGGACAAAGAGACAATATACTAGAATCACTGGGACACAGCTAGAGCAATGTTAATAGGGAAATTTATAGGAATAAATGCCCACATCAGAGAGCTAGAAAGATCTCTAATCAACACCCTAACATCACAAATAAAAGACGTAGAGAGGCAAGACCAAACGAATCCAAAAGCTAGCAGAAGACAACTAGGATCACGGAAGAATTGAAGGAGACAGACACACAAAAAACCCTCCAAAAAAAAATCAACAAATCCAGGAGCCTGTTTTTGAAAAAATTAACAAAATAGATAGATCGCTAGCTAGACTAATAAAGAAGTAGAGAGAAGAATCAAATAACACAATAAAAAAATTATAAAGGTGATATCACCACTGACCCCACAGAAATACAAACTACCATCAGAAAATACTCTAAACACCTCTATGCAAATAAACTAGAATATCTAGAAGAAATGGATAAATTCCTGGTTGCATACATCTACCAAGACTAAACCAGGAAGAAGTCAAACCCCCAAAATAGACCAATAACAAGTTCTGAAATTGAGGCAGTAATTAACAGCCTACTAACCAAAAATAAATAAATAAAAGCCCAGGACCAGATAGATTCACAGCTGCAGAAATACAAAGAGGAGCTGGTACCATGCCTTCTGAAACTATTCCAAATAATTGAAAAGAAGGGACTCCTCCCTAACTCATTTTATGAAGCCAGCGCTATCCTGATACCAAAACTGGGAAGAGGCACAACAAAAAAAGAAAACTTCAGGCTAATACCCCTGAAGAACATCAACACAGAAATCCTCAATAAAATACTGGCAAGCTAAATCCAACAGCACATCAAAAAACTTATCCACCATGATCAAGTCAGCTTTATCCCTCAGATGCAAAGCTGGTTCAATATATACAAATCAATAAATATAATCCCTCACATAAACAGAACCAAAGACAAAAACCACATGATTATCTCAATAGATGCAGAAAAGGCCTTTGATAAAATTCAACATCCCTTCATGTTAAAAACTCTCAACAAACTAGGTTTTGATGGAACGTATCTCAGAATAATAAGAGCTATTTATAACAAACCCACAGCCATTATCATGTTGAATGGGCAAAACCTGGAAGCATTCCGTTTGAAAACCAGCTCAAGACAGGAAGGCCCCCTCACCACTCCTATTCAACATAGTATTGGAAGTTCTGGCCAGCACAATCAGGCAAGAGAGAGAAATAAAGTTATTCAAATAGGAAGACAGGAAGTCAAGTTGTCTCTGTTTGCAGATAAAATGATTTTATTTTAGAAAACCCCATCATCTCAGCCCAAAAATTTCTTGAACTGATAACCAACTTTAGCAAAGACTCAGAATACAAAATCAATGTGCAAAAATCACACAAGCATTCCTTTACACCAACAATAGGCAAGCAGAGAGCCAATTTATGAATTCCCATTCACAATCACTACAAAGAGAATAAAATACCTAGGAATACAGCTAACAAGGGACGTGAAGGACCTCTTCAAGGAGAACTCCAAACCACTGCTCAAGGAAGTAAGACAGGACACAATCAAATGGAAAAACATTCCATCCTCGTAGATAGGAACAATCACTATCATGAAAATGGCCATACTACCCAAAGTAATTTATACATTCAGTGCTATTCCCATCAAACTACCATTGACATTCTTCACATAATTAGAAAAAAAAAACTTTTAAATTGCATGTGAAATTAAAGAAGATCCCATATAGCCAAGACAGTCCTAAGCAAAAAGAACAAAGCTGGCGGCATCACACTACCTGACTGCAAACTATACTGTGAGGCTACAGCAACCAAACTAGCATGGTACTGTTACCAAAACAGACATACAGACCAGTCAGCAGAACAAAGGCCTCAGAAATAATACTACACATCTACAACCATCTGATCACTGACAAATCTGACAAAAACAGATTTGTCAATGGGGACAAATCAATGGGGAAAGGATTCCTTATTTAATAAATGGTGCTGGGAAAACTGGCTAGCCATATGCAGAAAACTGAAATTGGACCCATTCCTTAAACCTTACACAAAAATTAACTCAAGATGGATTAAAGACTAAAATGTAAAACCCAAAACCACAAAAATCCTAGAAGAAAACCTAGGCAATACCATTCAGGACACATGCGTGGGCAAAGACTTCATGACAAAAACACCAAAAGCAATTGCAAGGTAAGCCAAAACTGACAAATGAGATCGAATTAAACTAAGGAGCTTCTGCACAGCAAAAGGAACTACCATCAGAGTGAACAGGTCACCTACAGAATGGGAGAACATTTTTGCAATTTACCCATTTGACAAAGGTCTAATATCCAGAATTTATAAGGAACTTAAACATATTTACAAGAAAAAAAAAACAACCCCATCAAAAAGTGGGTAAAGGATATAAACAGATACTTCACAAAAGAAGACATTTACGTGGCCAGCAAACATATGAAAAAAAGCTCAACATCACTGATCATCAGAGAAATGTAAATCAAAACCACAATGACATACCATCTCACACCAGTCAGAATGGCTATTATTAAAAAGTCAAAAAGTCAGGAAACAATAGTTGCTGGCAAGGCTGTGAAGAAACAGGAACACTTTTACACGATTCTTGGGAGGATAAATTAGTTCAATCATCATGGAAGACAGTATAATGATTCCTCAAGGATCTAGAACCAGGAATACCATCTGATCCAGCAATCCCAATACTGGGTATATTCCCAAAGGAATAGAAATCATTCTACTCTAAAGACACATGCACAGACATATGTTTATTGCAGCACTATTTACAAGAGCAAAGACATGGAACCAACCCAAATGCCCATCAATGATAGACTGGATGAAGAAAATGTGGTACATATATATCATGGAATACTATGTGGCCATAAAAAGGAATGAGATCACATCCTTTGTAGGGACATGGATGAAGCTGGAAGCCATCATTCTCAGCAAACTAACACAGGAACAAAAACCCAAACACCACATGTTCTCACTCATAAGTGGAAGTTGAACATTGAGAACACATGGACACAGAGAGGCAAACAGCACACACCAGGTCCTGTTGTGGGGTGGAGAGTGCGGGGAGGGAACTTAGAGGATGGGTCAATAGGTGCAGCAAACTACCATGGCATATGTATATCTATATAACACACCTGTACATTCTGCACATGTAACTGTTATCTTTTAGAATAAATTGTAAAACAACAGTTTGAGTACCTACTGTGTGCAAAGCACTTTGACAAGAGCCTTTGAAGCAAGAGAGCTCTGCTTTCCCCACCAAAAAAAAAAAAAAAAAAAAAAGAAACCATCTGGCCCAAAATGTCAATAGTGCCAAGGCTGTGAAATTCTGTGCTAGAAGAGAAACTTCAAACAAAAGATGAATAGAGAAATAGAATATAACTGATAAGTGAGCTGCAAATCTACATACTGTGAGCATCACTACAGAGCAGATTGTAAATATAGACATTATAGGAATGCAGAAATGATGATGTAGAAATCATGTAACAAAAATTGGAAGAGAAAGTAGGAGACGAAATTGTGGCAGTGGTACAGGTAAGTTGAGTTACATATCTTTAATAGCCATAGGTCAAAAAATAATAGTTTAACATCATAAATCAAGTTATAGACTAGATATATTTTAACAGTATAAATGTTGATGGTAAAACTGCAATTAACTAAAATCAGATGGAAGAGGAGACTGAGAAGGGGAAAATAAAAAAAAATGCCAATTTTATTGCTTATATTAAGGAGGGACTAGAAACCATACACAGAAATAGAGGATTAAGTATTATATAAAGTTATAGTTATATAAGTGGCTCATCTTTACTTCATAGCACTTATCCCAGGGTAATTTTGCATTGACTTATATGACTGATTGGTTACAATCAGTGTCCCATCAGGGGTAACTAATGAAGGGAACTGGTAAGGTCTGTTTTTGTTCACTAAATATATTCAGTCCTTGTTATCTGCAGTAGTTCTGTTCTACAAGCAATGAATTATCCACTACTGAACCATTTCTTCTAGGAGAAATATGGGGTTAGGTTCCTGAAAACCGCTGGTTTCAATATTTTCAACAACTGATCAACACCTAATTTTGTTTTATATGTGTTTCTACTTAAAGACACGTTTATACAATTCATTCATTCACACTGAACTTAGGGCCAACAACACTGTACTCACCCCTGAAGGAAGCCTATCTGGCACATATCTTGTTCTCTGTAAGGCCCATCACAGCCTTCTCCTGCTTAGGAACACTATGCTTGGGGTCCACAGTGAAATGACTAACTAAAAGCACAAATGGTGAAGAAACACAGCTCTGAACAGATAGGGAAAACAGGACCTGTTTACAATATGAGAGCTGAAACAAAGAGGCAGAGGCAGCCTTGTTCCAACTCAGCTGGGGGCATGTGTGTTGTATGACTCAGATTTTTCAGGGCTCTGCACATATCGACGCATGACTGAGAAACCCCTATGAGTACCAATTCTGAGGTTACAAGTAAAGTTTATCGGTGAGGTAAACTTGAACCTACTAAGTCCACCAGTGAGTATCAACAACTGTACTTGTAGAATTCAATTGGATGTTATCATCTGACAACAAACACTTGTTAAGTGATTAGTCAGTGTATTTCTTGTGATTCTGGGCTGTGCAAGTCAAGGAATTTCTATGAAAAATACGTAAATGTTAATACACATATCAGATTAATACACATACCTGTACGGGTTTTGTTTTTATGTAAAGTCGGCTTAGTGAATTTTGGAGGTAAGGGTCTTCGAAGAAGTAGAGGGGGCTTTTTCATTTTCATGAATAATAAGTGTTGTTTTCCATAATCCTTGGTTTAAGTGAGAATTGAAAAGGTTTTGAATATGTTTGAATTGTTGCTGAAAAATAATTAGAATTTAGAGTACATCTTAATGAAAATCGTTCTGTACCAATACTTTACTGATTCCAAGTAGAATTCCTTTATGGAAAAAAAGGGTAAGAAAACAATTCTTTAAAACTTCTGTTAATAGAAAGAATCCAGTTAAAATTTGGGGATATAAGTAAACATAGAATGTTTAAAATATGTGTATTACTACCCAGGATCATTCTATGATTTTCCATGTTAGCACAAAGTTCAACTTGCCAATGCTATTTCCTCTAGTAAATACTGATTTTTTAGAATAGTCGAAATGACATTTTTTTCCTCTCCCCTCAAAATGTTATCACTATAAATGTAGAAAAAGAATCTGGTCAGAAATCTGTAGATGATCCCTTCATTACATAAGCTTCTGAAGACCCACCATATGTAAACCATTCACATACAAGTTTTCTTTCTTTTCTTTTCTTTTTTTTTTTTGAGACGGAGTTTCTCTCTTGTTACCCAGGCTGGAGTGCAATGGCGCGATCTCGGCTCACCGCAACCTCCGCCTCCTGGGTTCAGCCAATTCTCCTGCCTCAGCCTCCTGAGTAGCTGGGATTACAGGCACGCGCCACCATGCCCAGCTAATTTTTTGTATTTTTAGTAGAGACGGGGTTTCACCATGTTGACCAGGATGGTCTCGATCTCTTGACCTCGTGATCCACCCGCCTCGGCCTCCCAAAGTGCTGGGATTACAGGCTTGAGCCACCGCGCCCCGCCCAAGTTTTCTTTCTATAATGGTTTTTCAACCACTGTGCTTGAGCCAAAACCATTCAATCCTAAAATAAGATGGGTTTCACTAGAATGAAATTTCCCAGGACTGCTGGATCCCAACTCCTACTGTTTAGAAATCATGTGAGAAGATGTACCCCAAAAATGTGCGTTTACTTTGCAGGGCCACCTGAAAAGTGCCTGGCACCGCACTATCCCATCGAACCCTGGAACTGCACAAACGGGCCGTTTACCGCCGAAGGATAAGTGCACACAAGCGCTCAAGGTGTACTCCACGGTCGTACGTTCCACTCGATGCTGGAAATCTGCCTTCCGTGGTATCCAGAGAGCTGCCTGAAGTGCTGGACTCTCACTACCCTTCACAAAAACAGCCGCTTCCCAAACCAACCGGCTTTTCGTCTCCCATCTCCTTTTCCTCGGAATTTAGGCAGCGAGGTAAAGGCCCCGCGAGGCCGCTGGTCTTCCTGCAGGAGGCTGCTCCTGAGGAAGCATCAGGGAGCCCCACCCTGTAGGAGGCCAAGGAGACACACCCGGAGACACACCTCTCCCAGGTCCGCGGAGCCGCCCTGCCACCGGACGCGCAGGCGCGGGGCGAGAAGGGCGGGGCGCGGGGCGCTGGGCGCCGGGAGGGGAAGGCCCCGCCCACTTCTTCGCCCACGCCCTGCCCCGCCCACTTCCCCGCCCACTGCGCCGCGCGCGCGGATCCCTCTCGCCTTCCTCCGCCGCACTGTGGACTGTAGGGGAGGCTGCGGGCCGTGGGGGCCGGAGGAGAAGCCGGCTCCACGTGCAGCTGCTGTACGGAACGCCGTGGTGACAATTGTTATTACTATTCTTGTGCTGAATGGCAGTGACCATTATTATTTCTTATTTACTTCTCTCGATACACGATGCGTATCTTGGGTGTCTGGGTGCCATTCTTCAGTGCTTCGCTTCAGCGCAGCCGGGTCCCGGGGATAACTGTGCAGTGCTCTGGAAAAGCGGGCCTTCGGTTTTCTTTCTGTTCCTTTCATGCAACTTGTTTTGTCTTTCTGATCCTTTAAAGTTCCTGGCTGAGGCTGGATTGTATAGAAATGAGGGCATTAGGGATCCTAGCGGGCTGGAAAACAAACCCATTTCTCACTGTCATAGTCGTCTGTTCTGGTTGTCAGATTGTGACGTGTCGCCTCTGCCATGGTGTTGATGAACCTGTGTGTGCAGTGATACATAGTGGTGTGTTTGCAAAAATGTATGTGTTTCTCTGGAGATTTGAGGGGGAAAGAGCAGTAGAAAGAGCTCGTCTGATAGATGTGGAAATCCCAACTCAGAAAGTAAACTAGTTAGAGCTTCCTTCCAGGTTTGGTGTTTTTCAAAGTACAAGTGCAGGAACTTTATAACAGACGTTGGAAAATGAGAGACTCCATATAAATCTTTCTAGCTTTGGGGATCTTTCAAGAGTCACACCATAACCATGTCTTCCTTTTTCTCCTTAGTAGCAAACATTTTAAAACAATCAATGAAAAAAGTAGAAAAGTTTAGACAAAAAGTAATCGGACTCTGGAAAATATTATGCAACTTGTTGTCCTTTATAGTACTAGTGTGCTGTTTCTTTTCCTTGTAAGATTACTGTGTCCCAATTGTTCCGCTGCCCAGACCATGAATTTATTTCCACTTTTGCTGTGTCTACACCATAGATTCAGTAGTTTCTCAGAAATACAAAGCTGAGAACAAAAGGCAGATCTCATGGCTAAGATTAGTCTCACGGAATATATATTGTGCATATTTTGTAAATGTGAAAAAAATGTTTATATTATTAAGCATAAAAAATGTCAGTGTGTAAATTGAGTCAGGTACCTATGCTCTTCAAGTACGTTGGAACCATGAGAACTACTGGAATTCAGTTTTACTGACTGACGTTTAGCCTTTAAACTTTATGCTTAGTTTTGCATAGTCGAAAGTAAACCTTTTGAATGCTTTTTGAGAAAATGCTTTGTCACACTTGGAATCTGCAGGCATCCAGGTTTCATTCCTTACAGATTTCTTGTAGCAAGTATGCGACTAAAACCTAGGGTGGTTTAATATGTAATCTCCTTAGGTGTAAACGTTTTGTCTTCTGCTACTTACTATTTCTACCACTTAGTACCAAACATTTAGGCAAATGAGATAGTTATTATGAAAGTTAAATTCATGGCTTGGTATGTTTTATATGTATATATGTTATTCTAACATATCCGACATGCTTTGTCTGTGGAAATGACATATCAGTATGGGATGGGTTTAGACAGGACAAATGAAATTCAATTTACATTATTTTATATTTCTTATATTTTAGAAAACATTACCCTGTCAGTTTTCTTGCTTTTTTTGTAAAATAATGATGTGTTTTGAAACAATTAATAGCTCCCTCTTTGATTTTAAGGGTCTGCTTTTTCTGATGTATCTACAGTCACCCTTTTTATTTGTTCCATCTCTTTTGCAGTTTGGCAGAACCTTATGAAGAAGCTTCCCAAACTGAACCACAGTGCTTTCACTCTATTAGCAAATTGTACTAAAGATGCCAGGGTAATGATGAGTGCCAAGGTTATAGACATCCTGCATTTTTTTAATGTTGCTAAAATGAGATAAAAGCCTTATGCAAAAGCAACCCCAGGCACCCCGCAGGTAATGCTATTGATTTCCTTAATATGGACAATGCTTGGGGAACCTCAAATTTGCTGTTGGTTCTGTTGAAATGATGTTAAAAAGTATTGCTAGACATCTTCATTATTTTCCATCGACCTGTCTCTTATTTATTTATTTACCTTTAAAATAGGAAGAGTTTTACTAAACAGTTTGGCCATTGTCATTTTAACCTAATGTTTTCCCTTATGGAAATAATGGAGTAATATAATTTGTGTTTTTATGTTCATTTTAGTTCTTTAAAGTACTGTTAAACAAAGAATAGTTATTTTTGAGCACATATTCATTCAACTATTGAATCCCCAGAGTAACCCAGGGCACTAAAATGCTTTTGAGAAAGAGGTGTTTTCTTGGTCTGAATTTACCTGCATATATTAATTATATGTACAGGGAAATTTCTTCACCAGTCACCAGTGGCTTTATGTACCCATTTATTTCATGTGTTTCTGTTTCCATGCTGTTGCCTAGAGAATAGTTTCGTATTTTCTCAAATGTGAATAAAGATATTTTGAAGAAGTTGCTACCCTTTTTACCCCACATCTCACTGTAAAGACAAAAACTTCATTTCTGTTTTTCATTATTTTAAGCCAATTATTTCCTTTGTCTTTCAAGATGATAGGTATTTCCTCTGTTTGAACTGCAGATCCTGGGATTACTTTTTTAAAATTACTAATAAGGAAATGTCATGCAACCTTTATCATGGAATTAAAAAAAAAATCCAGACACAGGAAAGGACAATGTCTGTCTGTTTTTAAAGGTGCATTCATGAATTTAGTCATTCATTCCAGAATCATTTATTGGAAACCTGCCACACAAGTTACTTCACTAGGTGCTAAACTTTAAACTTTATTAAAATGACTTATAATGATTCATTTGAGGCTTTATAATTTGGACATTGAAATGAAATTTTAACTCATTTGCAAAGATTCCACTCATCTGCATTATAACTACTTGAGGTTTTTTTTTTTTTAATTTTAAGTCTTCTATGATATTGCTTTGGTAGAATAGTGTTGCTTTGTCACACTCCTCTGATTCTCAGAAACAGTTTTGGGTTTGTTTGTTTTTTTTAGCTGCAGTGATTATTTTAGATTCTCTGCAACCAGTTAATATTAAGCATTTGTGTATATTGTATGATTGTGTCCTTCACCAAAAAGAGTTCAATGATATTTGTTTCCTTATTATGAGGCATTTAAGCATGAGGAAGGTTATTACTATGTGGAAGGCACTGTTTTAAATGTTGATTTTGTTTTAGCTTCGCAATTATCACACTAATTGAGGGTGCTGGTATCTGCATCTTGGAGCATAGCACAGCTCAACTCAGCTGGGTTCAGATCATCCAGCTGGTCAGCTCTGTGCCCTTGGACCAGCTGCTTACCCTAAGCCCCAGGGTTTCCTCATTTGTAAAATTGGGTTAAAATGATACTTACCAAGGGCCTTGTGAGGTGTTAAAGAGATAAATCTGTGTCAGGGGTTAGTTCTCTGCCAGCCACAGAGTCAATGTGCAGTAGATGTTCTTAGAAAATTTAAAATGAGGCCGGGCGCAGTGGCTCAAGCCTGTAATCCCAGCACTTTGGGAGGCCGAGGCAGGCGGATCACGAGGTCAAGAGATCGAGACGATCCTGGCCAACGTGGTGAAACCCCATCTCTACTAAAAATACAAAAAATAGCCGGGCATGGTGGCACATGCCTGTGGTCCCAGCTACTCGGGAGGCTGAGGCGGAAGAATCGCTTTAACCCAGGAGGCGGAGGTTGCAATGAGGTTGCAATGAGCCGAGATTGGGCCACTGCACTCCAGCCTGACGACAGAGCAAGACTCTGTCTCAGAAAAAAAAAAGAAAGAAAATTTAAAATGAAACAAACAGCCCAGTTTTTCAATGTCAACACCCCTGCTTTCTGTGATGATAGTTTATGTTAATTGAAATATTGGCAGGCTATAAATCCTGGGCATGTATTCACAAAATTTATCCACAAAATGTCACACTTAACTTTCCTAATGTCTCCAAATGTTGGCAATTCTAGTTTGCAGTTCTCAGATTGTGGCACAAATGCTGTGCTTTCGACAGTGTCCTACATTCTGTCACTGGTCTTTATACTCCTCTGGGCAGCACCGGAGCTGTGGGACAGCTCGTGCCTGAAAGAGTCCTGATACAGTGATGTAAGGAGGGCTTGACTCTCATCCACGTGAGTTGGGTCTGTGAGCTGCCGTCACATTGATTGAGCTGGGCGGAATCCATGATGAATTTCAACCGGTAACCCAAGGAAGAAAGCCTCTTTGTTCTCAGCGTCTTCCAGGCCACTTGCTGTGCCTAACAAAGGTGAAAAGGGGCTACAATGTGAAGCTCCTTTAAATGGCTGGAGGGAAAGGTCTTAAATGCACATGATCTTTCTTAGTTTATTTTCTAATGTGCACACTGGACTTTGGTAGATGGGTCTATGAGTTCCTGTTCTGGCTGGGATTTAGTCCTAAACTTAGGAGGAACATGTACCCGATCAATCGTGTCTGAGCTGCATGCCCTCTGTGCAGCCCACAGCAAACACCTGCAGCAATTAGAACTGCAAGTGAGAAAAATGTTTTGTACTGACTTATTCTTCATTCTAATGTCGACTTACGACCTTAAACAGTAGATATGATTTGCTTTTTGAACCTAGCATTCTGCTTATGCCTACTGTCCTGTTGAGTATATGTTTGATCGTAGTGTATGAGGTTAAAAGTTGCGTATGGGAGTAAGGGCAGAACATGGAAGGGTGAATTGTATTCTGTGTGTTGAGTGTTGATAAAGAACTTGTATTTCTTATATCAGAACTAGACAACTATAAGTGTAACTTATGTTTCAGTATCACATAGTTTAGTATGCTGTTGAAAGTTCTGCTGCATTTCCATTTGTAATCTCCACTTTATAATATGTTTTGATGCCAACTTTTATCAGGGTTGAATTAAAATTTCAGGACATTGCTTCTGTCTCCACCCTGCCCCAGGTAGGAGAAAATTTCTTCATTTCCTTTCTTTGCCAGGTTTTCCAGATGAGGTAATACCCAGCCAAGGAAGATAATATGATGTCCAGCTCTGTTCAGAAGCCATAGGGAAGACAGTTTGTGGGGCTTTATTCTTCTCTCCACTGCAATTCCAAGAAAGCAACTTT